ATTGTACACACCTGTGTCCATGGAGGGGATTGGAACACCTAAATCACATGATTTGGAGGGCGGGGCCAATACTTTTGGCAATATAGTGTATGTGGGAGCTGCTTTACCCTGTCGGATATAGTGAATGCAGGGTCCGGGGAGACCGGATATAGTGAATGCAGGGTCCGGGGAGACCGGATATAGTGAATGCAGGGTCCGGGGAGACCGGATATAGTAAATGCAGGGTCCGGGGAGACCAGATATAGTGAATGCAGGGTCCAGGGAGACCGGATTTAGTGAATGCGGGGTCCGGGGAGAGCGCATATAGTGAATGCAGGGTCCGGGGAGACCAGATATAATGAATGCAGGGTCCGGGGAGACCAGATATAATGAACACGGGATCCGGGGAGAGCAGATATAGTTAACGCAGGGTCCGGGGGAGACCAGATACAATGAATGCAGGGTCATGAATGCAGGGTCCGGGGAGACCAGATATAGTGAATGCAGGGTCTGGGGAGAGCAGATATAGTGAATGCAGGGTCCGGGGAGAGCGGATATAGTGAATGCAGGGTCCGGGGGGACCGGATATAGTGAATGCAGGGTCTGGGGAGACCAGATATAGTGAATGCAGGGTCCGGGAGACCAGATATAGTGAATGCAGGGTCTGGGGAGAGCAGATATAGTGAATGCAGGGTCCGGGGAGAGCAGATATAATGAACACGGGATCCGGGGAGACCGGATATAATGAACATGGGATCCGGGGAGACCGGATATAATGAACACGGGATCCGGGGAGAGCGCATATAATGAATGCGGGGTCCGGGGAGACAAGATATAACGAACACGGGATCCGGGGAGACCGGATATAATGAACACGGGATTCGGGGAGAGCAGATATAGTTAACGCAGGGTCCGGGGAGACCAGATACAATGAATGCAGGGTCATGAATGCAGGGTCCAGGGAGACCAGATATAGTGAATGCAGGGTCCAGGGAGACCAGATATAGTGAATGCAGGGTCTGGGGAGAGCAGATATAGTGAATGCAGGATCCGGGGAGACCAGATATAGTGAATGCAGGGTCCGGGGAGAGCGGATATAGTGAATGCAGGGTCCTAGGAGACCAGATATAGTGAATGCAGGGTCCTAGGAGACCAGATATAGTGAATGCAGGGTCCTAGGAGACCAGATATAGTGAATGCAGGGTCCAGGGAGACCAGATTTAGTGAATGCAGGGTCCGGGGTTTAGTAATACTTTAAGGTTTAAGCTGATCAAATTTAAAAATGTGTGCCAAAATAAATGAATAAACATACAATCTTGTTTCCCAGAGCAGCAGATACATTGTGTAGTACTGTATCCCTCTGTTTTTCTCTCCCATGGACACCGAAGGTCAGCGGGATCCGAGCACAGCTGCCGAGAGGACAGATAAAATGAAAAAAAACTTATCTTCGAGAGAGAGAGAATTCATCTCACTCCGGGTGATTCAAGATGTAATGATGTAATACCTTGACAAAGCGCTCTTTGGAACAAAGCCTGTATTCTCCGATACTTTGTTGCTGAAACCTTGACTCAGATAGCTGGATGAATCTCACACTCAGAAGCGTACCGGTTATAGGACCATTATATAACTATTTTAACCATTTCCCGATTGTAGGACGTCCTTTGGTTGAGGTGGTTATACCAGGGTTGCAGCTACAGGCATCATCCTGGTATGTTTTTTTTTTTTCATTCGGCAATTTCCTGTAATGTAAAAGTCATCCTAGCGGCCAATTAGCCGCTGGATGGCTTTTTACAGGCAGCGGGAGGGGACACGTGCTTCTCCGGGCTCTCCCATGCGATTTGGGGAGCCCAGGATCCGATCTAGCGGCGACGCCAGAGCCGGCCATGGACTGAATGGTCCCCAGCCATCTCTATGTTCCTGGGAGATTGAGGTGACGTTATGACGTCACTTCCAGGTGTAGCAAATTTAAAAACTGTGATTTTTTTTTTTTCCCTGGAAAACAGAGATCAGTGTTTTTGTTTTTTTGTTCTTTTTAGTCTCATGCTTTCCAGGGTAGAGGAGATATCTGGGCTCTTACTGACCCCAGATGTCTCCATAAAGAGGACCTGTCATTCCTATTATAAGAGAAGTTTATATTTTTGTAATAGGAATAAAAGTGATAAAAAAAATTATAGAAACACTATAAAATTAAAATAAATAATATTCACACACTTTTAAAGCGCCCCCAGTTGCCCGCCCACATACGTAAATGGAGTTTGCACATTTAAGATGTCGCCACGAAACATTATAGTGAGAGCAATAATTCTAGCACTAGACCTCCTTTGTAACTCTAAAACTGGTAACCTGTTAAGACTTTTAAAGAGTCGTCTATGGAGCGAGCAGTCTTTCCTTTTTTTGCCAGAGTGCAGCTTTAACTTTCTTTTCCATAGAGCATTGGTCTCCAACTGCAGCCTTGGGGCCAGATGTGGCCCTTTTCTTGCTTTAATTTGACCCTTGGATCACTATTTCATATCACTATTAA